CTGTATCGTTGTATCGTCTGTATCGTTGTATCACCGTAGTGCTGTGTCGTTGTTTATCTCCTGTATCGTTGTATCGTCTGTATTGTCTGTATTGTCTGTATTGTCTGTATCGTCTGTATTGTCTGTATTGTCTGTATTGTCTGTATCGTTGTATCGTTGTATCGTTGTATCGCAGTAGTGCTGTATCGTTGTAACAACTGTATCGTTGTATCGTCTGTATCGCGGTAGTGCTGTGTCGTTGTATCGTCTGTATCGTTGTATCGTCTGTATCGCGGTAGTGCTGTGTCGTTGTTTATCTCCTGTATCGTTGTATGTGTGGCCGTGTGGTGTATATTAGCTGATCCTTTGAGAGACCGGGGGACTACATTGGATTTTGGATTGCTTAGATATGTAGCCCTATGGCATGTTGTGTATCGGTGTATCGCAATACGGGCAACAATAAAGCAAAAGCCAGGTCCTAAAACGCGACACATATGAAGGGAAAACCCTGGGAGGCTAGGAGGGGAAAAAATGGCATATCCTGTTTTATGGAGAATAGAAAGAAATGTAATAAGTAATATATTCAGGGCTTTCAGAATAAGCCAGCGGCTGCTTTTAATAAATTGATGCTGATCTTTTAGGGGTCCTTTTCGAAATAAACCACCAATATAATTTATCCTCCTTACCATTTGGACTAAGTGAGTACCCCCTTTCCTTGTTATAATAAGAAATAATTAAAGATTAATGCAATTACTGAAAGACGTACCAACAGCCATTCTGTGGTCATTAAATGGATCAAAGGTGAAGTCCATGACTGTACTGCCGCACTGGATGACTGGCATTCCACTGTCTGGCAGTCGGCAAGGATTGGAAAGCTGCAACAAATCACAGTTATGAACATAATATTAAAAAGGAAATTAGTATCTGATAAGAAAAATATTTCTTAAAAGATGATAACAACTGAGAACAATTTCTGTAGTTTCAAGTACAGTATTTACTATAACCCACCTGATATACTGCTACCTGGCCACCAGGTCCAGCAATGAGCCAAGCGACAAACTCTTTGTTCACCAACAGGGCATCACATTCCCCAAATGTTGACATGCTCAGGTTACGAATGTTCTCTATGTTGTTCTTCTTGTGCAAAGGCGTTCCATGGATGTGTCTAAACTTGGACACTCTCACACCTGTAAATGTTTTCTTTGTTGAGGTAGGAGGTTCTTCTTGTGCTGGAGCAGCCTGCTCTTTGGATGGAGCGGTTTTGGTTTCTTTTGGTTCCTTTTGAATGGATGGTTTGACCGCTGGGAGTTTGGGCTGTTGAGACAATAATTGTTGGATAATTGAAAACTGATGCATACTTTTGTAATAAATTAACATTATGGCTTTTGTAGATTAATGCTAAGACATACATACTGATATATATCCAATCAGTAAAAATGATTGTTGGATTTGAAATAATTGAAAAAAACTGATACATACTTTAATTGTAATTAACGTTGTGGCTTTTGTAGATTAATGCTAAGACATACGTACTGATATATATATCCCATCACTTACAATGATTAAGATTATTCGCTATTGAATGGTACCTAAATCAATGATTTTCAAAAAGCCAATAATTCATCTCGGTATGAAAAGTCTGCAGAAATTCTTGCTCATCACCTGGGCCATTGAAACCAGGCATGATTATATTGCATATGGTTAGTTAGATATGTATAAGTTGAGGAAAACTGCATTAAACTTTTTCCTGGTGACTATTCTTCACCTTATCATTCACAGATGGCTTTGTAGCAGCTGTGCATTGATGTAAACCTGTCTTAGGGTCTTTTGGGCACTTGATGGAGGTCCTTTTGGAAGGATTGAGACTTATCTTTTTTCTCTATAAAAAATATATTATTAATTAAAGTTAGAACAAATTGAAGTTCATTGGGAATTAGGAGCTGTAATAAGAAAGATTAAAGGATGAATAATAAATTGATAGGATGTTTGTTCAATTGGTTGGACAATATAAATGGGATGTGACAGATGAATGAATAAATGGTGCCCCTGTAATAGAGACAGGATGGAGCGATAATCATGGATGAGTGAATGGAACAAATGGATGGACTTAAAAAAGAATTTAAAAAACTAGATGGATAACCAATGTAGTAAGAATAATTAAGTCAATATACATCCCATTTACTGACCAACACATTTTAATCATGCATTGTTTAATAGGGCATAAATTTAATAGATTATCAAACCATTGAATACCTGTAAGTTTTGTCCATCAAACCACTGCTGGCAGGTCATGGCTGGTACATCACCAAGGGTATCAGGGAAAAGGTCAGCATGGAATTCTTCATAACTCTTTGAAGTTAAGATTTTCAATATCAAAATGACAAAGTACTACCCAATAGAAACCCATAAGGCAAATAAACATGGCAATAATGCCTTACATCCCATCCACATAAATGTGTTTTCAAAAGTCTCCATTTTTGTCTTGCAGAAAACGCATCGATTGCTTTGCATCCACACTAGCGTTTTCATATCGTTTTTCGACTGTCCACTTTCCAAATGCTCAAAAATGCATACACGTCTCTTTGTGATGTAATGCATTAATCTGTGCATGCCTGGTAGAACAGCGCCTGAGGTGCTTGTCCCAGCACACGCTTGTTTGACATGGTCAAATCCAAAATCTTCTCGGCCTTTGATATGGCTTAGTTGCCCAAGTCTTACGTTGTGAAGTATTCAAAAATACTGGTGCCCTGTTCTTCTTTTGTGTTCCCAACCGAAGGTTGAACAATAAAATATTTAGTTCCAAACAAGGGAATAAACAAGTCAACAACATAAAAATGAGCTCATCCGCCATATTATTTGTTTTGAAACTAGGGAGGCCTGGATAAGAGATCACACGATGCTATTGACGTCATCGTTTTCAAAAGGCTCCATTTTCGATCGTCCACACCAAAACGATGTGTATCCATTTTCATTTGGCTCCACATTGGACAACATTTTCAAATCGATGTGTCATCGATGAATACGCTCATTGTTTTCAAGCGTTTTTGTGTTGACAGAAGGCCGAAATGTCTGCATTTTCAAACAAAAATGCATTAGGTGTGGATGGGGTCTTAGAAGCATCATTATATGATACCCCAGGTAATTATAGGAAATTCCGAATGCTGATTGGTCGAGAACTTCACACTATTTCTTAATAATCACCATCACTAAGATGAACATATTTTATAGGAATGTGTGTGCTCAGTTTGCTGGAGCGTGTGCTGCTTTTAAAATATAAACTGTAGAAATAAACCAATGTTGTCTACTTTCTTTCAAATGATCACCCGTGTGTAATGATATTAAAACGATTATTCACCTTTAGGCTTAGAAATATATTATCAGTGAATAATATTGTTAACTAAGCACACCAACCTTTCTTGGTACCAAGTAGCTTATTGGTACAATACTGTGTTGTGTGACTTGAAGCAGTCTTGCCACCTCACATGACATCACATCTAGTGCAGCCTTTGGTACCATTGCCATGCCTTTAGTCTGTCCTTCAGTCATTATACCCGATACTATAATGAAAATATGTGTAGTCATTATCTGTGTCATTAGTATAGGAAACCACATGATCTCTATTACGATTCAGAATTGATAGATACAAGTGATGTTTTGAAAGTATACAAAATTGGACAAACAAGGCAAATTGAATTTGAGAACTTTCAAAACATCCCAAGTATCTATAAATTCCGCACGGACCCACTCTTTCTGTTTATTGTTTTGATCACTGAAAGCGAAACCGAAAAAGCGTGCGAGTCAGTCGATGATGTACAGGATTGAAGTAGGGTAAGGAGAAAGTTAAATTGCATCTGGTTTCTAAAAATAGCCCAACCGGTAATTTACATGGGGTGAGCATTATTAAGAAGTTTCCCGTTCTTATTTATGCTCTCTTGATAGAAGGGTGGTCTATCACTAGTACACTAGCCTCTCATCTCTGGGGTCTTAGGTAAATTTGCTCACTTGACACAGCATCTAGTTTGTAAGGTCTTTTTCATGACTTTAAGGTTTTTTATCTAGGTTCTCTGGTTTTCCTCCCTCACAATTTAACCTAACAAGCTAAATTCCAATTTGATCTGCGAGTTAGTTGAAGCCCTGACTTTAATCAGCCCAGAAGTTGCTTCAGCGTATGATAAAATGTAAGATAAATTATTGTGCTTCATTCTAATAATGCTTTAATTATGAGCCAAATGTAATTTAGTTATTTACTGTTATTTATATCCATGAATAATAAATAAATGCTGTGTTTCACATTCAATCACTGCCAATAAGATAATCCTTACCTTGATGTAAATAAGGATTACCCTTCTCTTTGACTTCATAAAATGATATGCTTGAATCCCCCTTGATGGTAAAAAAGATGCAGTCATGATGATTTCACTTCCAGGCATTCTCCTTATAAAGACTGTCATTTACTGTGGCTTACAGTACGTTGAAAACTTGGGGTATAGCAAGTTATACTATACAATATGAACACTTATGATTGAAAACATTTAATAGCTGGAAAACTCTCACTTTGTTTACTAAAGCTCACAATTTAAAAACTTCTATCAATTTAAAAAGCAACAAAAATTTTATCTTCATTTTTCCATGAGTTTCTAGTGGTATTTAATTGAATAAGATACCATGTAAATGTTACATCTTAAAAAAACTGTATCTTCCCTTGCCCAGAGCTAGAGCAACTTAAAACATGAAGGGGAAGGGCTACACAAATATAGCAAACTAGAAATGTAAACTATATGATGTAAATGGGGTGGTAAACTGGCTAATATATGCTCTCTGACTCCCCCCCCCCCCCCCCCCCCCTGTTGATTTCTTACCTTGCCAGCCACCAATAACATGTCACTATCAGGGTCATAAAATGGCATGAGAATTCTGCAAAAGAAATGTGATTACTTCAGCCTGGGTATTGAATCAGCTTTGAATTCTTAGAATGGAGTAGAGGTAAGGGACCAATAGTGCCAAATAAACAAGAGGGCTAGAAAATCACTGAGTTAGGAACAATACTTCTGATATGAATGTTTGAACTGTTTCTCTTCTTCAACCCCAAGCATAGACATCAGCTGTGTTGTTTAAAGACGTGTATATCAAGGAAAACATTATATTTTCAACATCACTCATAATAATGTGAACAGTATAGTAGTATGGTTGCAGTATTTTTGTATGTGGTCTTCTTTTTTTAGAGATATAAACATTTGAAATATCAATATGCATGAACATGGACCATGGAAACCATTGAATAAGGTTTGGATTTAAAAATATAATGCACTACTGTTGATGAAGTACATCACCTGGTCAGGTATGGTCAGTACTTACCTGTATTAGAATCTACATCAACACTCTCTAACCCCCACCCACCCCTCCCTCTACACAGCCCCTGATGAAGTACATCCCCTGGTCAGGTATGGTCAGTACTTACCCTGTGTTAGAATCTACATCAACACTCTCTAACCCCCACCCACCCCTCCCTCTACACAGTCCCTGATGAAATACATCACCTGATCAGGTATGGTCAGTACTTACCCTGTATTAGAATCTACATCAACACTCTCTAATGGTGTGTTCAGATTATGGATATCCCAAACTGCTATTTGACGTTCTCTTGACTGTAAAAAAAGCAATATTGGAATGAAAAATATAATTCTAAAATAAAAATAGAAATGAGGAGGAGGAGGAGGAGGACAGTGATGATGATGATGATTATTATAATGATTATGATGAGGATGATGTAATGATGATGATAATCAGACACACAATAAACAATTACCATGGTAAATCCAGTGCCTAGGATGTGGTCTCTGTTTCCTAACCATACAATACGAGAGTCTCTTATACCACCAAGTCCATTCCCTTCCTACAGTACAAGTGAAAATATGAATATTACATATTTGTTTGCATTCCTTTCTGCACTAAACAGAGTGCATAAGTAAAGAAGATGTTCATTTTTATCAGTAAAATAATAAGTATTTTTATATGATATGGTAGTAAATAAATCATTAGAGCACCAAGTAAAACAGTTAAAGCAGATTTTTTAAATATTGTCTTCCTTATCATTAACTTACCCCTGCACACTYGGAGGCTCTTGGGTCAAATATACGTATCTTTTTGTCCTAGAAACGATAAATCCATTAGATATATAGAGATTACTTCATAGAAAGCGCACGCGTACAGGATTTTCGCAGGAGTTGGTGAAGTATCTGAAATCTCACTCGTTCGAGTGGGAAAATCCCGTACACGTGCCCTTTCCATGCTGTAATTCATTTATTTTATACATGCTGAGATTTTGTTGTTTTTATTTATTCACCTTTAATGGGTTCTCTAAAAAAATACAAAACTGCTGTATTTTAAAATGTCTCCTCCGAAAAGCTAAAAGCTTGCTACATGTAAAAATATCACTATTTAAATCAAAAAACATATCTGGTACAAAGTAAATAGCAAAACGTTTAAATTCTAAACCAAATATGAAACTGTTCTTAAGAAAATAACGAAATAAGCAACCAAAATCAGTGGTCAATGAAGTCTCATAAACTTAGTTTGTCAAAGCGGAGGGCTGTCTTCGTCTCCACGATTCAAACACACGCTTGATGCGTCATGAAGCAATGTGTTGACTCTGTTGATTTGAATGAGTTATCGGTGAAAGTCGGCGACTTGTTTAAAGTTTTTATTGTCATGTCAAACTGTCCTCATTGAAAAGCTGCTCCACTGAATGGACCTGCTGCAGGGAAACTAGAACTTTTCATGAATGAAGATTCAGGGCACTCGGTGCCCACTGCACTTTGTAAACTGGCCTTTTTTCTATAGACGTACTTGTAGTATTTCCACTCAGAATCAAAGACATGTTTTTCTGTTGTTCGTTTGAGATAGTACTGCAATTCACTGACATACCCATTAAGCTCTTCTGGTGGGAAAACCCGATTCGCTTTGACAGTGGTTTGCGATTGGATGAAACGCTTTTTTCACGTGTGACAAATCGTTTCGCTTTTCTGATTGGCTAAAAAAGTCGTGAACTTGTTTTTCACACAGGGAAATTTGATAAGAAAATCAAATCTCAGTATGTACTGTATAAAATAAAGTTACTTTTCACAAAGCTAGCCCATGGAAAACAAAATCTTTAATTTTATACATAGCCAACCAGATAGCAGTTGCCAAACAATACCCAATATTTAATGAACAGTCCCTGACACTGCATCTACCAATAGGAAGATCTCAATTGGATTACCATCCATCCTATAGGACGGTCTTAGTTGGCACTGCATCCACCAATAGCAAGCTCATAATTGGCACTGCATCCACCAATAGCAAGCTCACAATTGGCACTGCATCCACCAATAGCAAGCTCACAATTGGCACTGCATCCACCAATAGCAAGCNTTGGCACTGCATCCACCAATAGCAAGCTCACAATTGGCACTGCATCCACCAATAGCAAGCTCACAATTGGCACTGCATCCACCAATAGCAAGCTCTCAATAATTGGCACTGCATCCACCAATAGAAAGGTCTCCACATTTCATATTGCATACACCAAAGTAATTGAAAGTTTTTTAAAGCTATATTTAAATTTATTTAAGTAAAGTATGAGGACATACCTTGCTAGATGTTACTATCAATGAGCCATCACCCTTCCAAGACATACTCTGAATCACGTCTTCATGGTTATTCATTGCTGAAAGACAATTGTTACTTGCATCTCATTAGATAGTAAATGTACCAGTTAGTTTATGAAGCAAATTCATAACAGAAGGCATTCTCTTAGATGAGGGAGGGGATGGGTTACTCTTTATTCACAGACCTGCAATGTGACAGATTTCTCTCTGTCTAACACATATTATAAAATCCTGACTATAAATTAAGCCTTTCCTACTTACTGTACTTTTCTTGTCCCTTTTCCAGGTCCCACACAGTAAGTGTCTTTGAACAAGTGCTTGCTAATACCTATGAATTAATTAGATAGAAAGCTGATGCACTCAGCTGTACAGCAATAAATGTCCATGTTTACTTAGTGTTCCTATAATGTTGTTTAAAGAAGGGTCTATTAAAATAACCAAAAATAACCATGCCATCATCAAAATGATAGTTAAGCCTAGTGCAGATCTTCTATATACAGCAAAACAATGAGAAAGGTGGTGGAATAAGAATTTCCACTCATAGAGCAGTTTTCATATTTCCATGGGTGGGACTCATATGGTACTGTTCATGTCTTACAGCACCTACATGGTACAACATGCAATATAACATTGACATGGCTTCCCATTGTCTTCCTGACAGTAAATCAACTAAAAATGGTGTGCGGTTATATCATTCTACAGTAAGATACAGTAGGGCTGCAGTAAGGCTACAAATTTGCTGTATAATCCCACTCACATGCTGTGCAGTATGTATTAGCCAAATTGACTTTAACAAGAAAGGTAATGTCAATCGTGAGCACTCAATGACATTGATATAACAACTAAATGGTTTATTTTCTTCAAGATTAATTCATAGTGCTAACTAACGCAAAGACCAATAGGCTACTTACATCACTTGCACTCGGATGAAAGAGAACATTCTCAACACGATTCTGTCAAGAAACAAAAGAAATGCAACAGATCAAATTGGAATTTAATCTTGGTTTTTACTGAGAGAAGAAAACTAGAGAACCCAGGGGAAACCATTGAGAAGCAGAACCAATAAACAATTCTACCTATGCACATCAGGGATGTAGTCATGATTTTCTGGAGTGGAGCCCAAATTTATAAGTCCGCCATTTTGTTTGGAGCCCCGAATGCCAAATCCCCCCAAAAAAGACCCGCAGTTCTTTTAATTTCGCATAACTAAGAAAACAAATTGACTATGTAAATTCTAAATTTGATTAAGGAAATAAATGCCAGAATTTCTGGACATTTCGAAACATCCTATCATCATTTTCAACAATCATTAAATGTTGAATACCATCAAAATGTCCAGCAATTTTTGTGTTCATTTTCTTAATCAAATGTTTATCAAGATTCATACTAAATTCTAAATTGTCACTATTTTGTTGACACCAAGTGGGTGGCTATGTTCCCCTTGCCCCCCCCCCCCCCTACTACGCCCTTGGACATACAACACTGAGTCCAGAAGTCAAACCTGGGTCAAATTATTAGCTCCACACACCACCTATGCTACTCACATAAGTTTCATACCACTAGGTTTGAGAAAACATGTTAAACTTTGTAAAACAACATACTCTTCTGAGGATACCCTATTGTACTTACAGGTTGTTGGGGTAATACAATAATAGGTGAAGGACTTTCTTCATCACCATGTTCTGGTAATTCCCACAATTTTATCTATATAAATAGATAATTAATAAATATAAATTATTAAAATCATAGATCTGCAGCACATAATTCATGCATCAGATTCTCATGTGCAACAAAAACAAAAATATAATACTCTAGGGAATGACACATGGACTGAAATGGGCAAAACAATACGCTTAGGAAATAGTAGAATTGTCTACTTCAAGGTCGCATTTTACAACATTTTGGAATGTCAATAAATCTAATAAAAATAGAACTATTTCAAAAGCCATTTACTTTTTAATATGAGTAGTATTTTTCACTTGCTTAGTTAGAATTCTAATATTAATATCAACCTACTGTGCAATCATAGGAACATGTAGCAAGGCATTTTTCATCAAATGGTGAAAAGTCCATGTCTGTCACAAAATCTTTAAAAAATGCAAAATTTTTGTCAAACACAAAATAACTAACCTGTTGATTGTAGATGCTTGATAATATATACAATATTTGTGTCTGTGTTGTATACGATGTAAAAACTGTTACCTATGGTGCGAGTTGGTATATCATATCCTGAACATGGCCACTCATTTTGTATAAATGTAATGCTTATTAATAAACGAGCAGGAGTGTTTTATCAGGTATAAAAGACCCGATAAAAAACAATCTGCGAGTTTATTAAACGGCTTCAAAACTTCATGATGTATGTTCTCATATTGTACAGGATTCTTTACGGAATGAACCAAGTTTGATAGAGAAAATCCCAGTTAAAGTTTATGCAAATGAAGACAAATCTATATCAGATTTTTTTTAAAATATAAAACCTCCTTCATGGTCATGATTTCTATTGTGTTTCCTTCATGAATTATTAATGAGTTTCTTAAATTACATATAAAATACTGTAGTGATCACAAGTGTAGAATCAAGTCTCAAAATCAAGTATCATAATGACATATCATATACATGTCATAAAACAATTAATCATTATTTACCTGTATGGCAATGCATGAGATGAGGAGGTTTGTTGTCTCTATGTCCAATTTGGTCAAGACTCAACACTCCAAGACTTCCTCCTCCTACAATCCAAAATCAATGACTATTTAAAATTATCAGTAATGACAAACCTTAATTACTACTATTGAAATTTAGCTTGGAAAGATTTTCTTTCTCCAATATATGAGCACAGTCCATCATCATAATCATTATCACTATCACTCATTATTACCGTCATATTTATCAATCACTGATCATCAGTCATTGTCGTCGGGTCAATGTCATCAATGAGTCCCCTTGAGTCATGAGTCACCTTCATCATTATTATCATAATCATCATCAACATGTATGGGCTATCATCATTATCAACAGTAATTATATAGTTGGGATAGTATGCGTGCACTGATTGGTTGAAAACTGTGCTTTATTAACAAAAAGCACAGTTCGCTTGTGCAAAGTCCTGCTAGATCCTGCAACCGTATTTCTTTTTGAGTAAATTAATTCAATACAGAAAAAATAGTAGCTATATAATAAAACAGCTTTTTACATGCTCCATTTGGTAATAAACTTTGAAAGTGCTGTAAGCACTCAAGAAGTGTGAGAAGCACTCACCTACGTCTCATTTGTCATCCGTCATCATCATACATTTATGGGTCAAAGCACAAAGCTCGTACACAAAAGCATACAAACACACTAAACACAGTCATGCTTTTGTGCCTTGTGCTGTAAAACTACATTTATATAATTTTTGTTTTCTTTTACCTCCATGTTCAACATTAAAAGCCAAATGAGAAGTGCTTGCTTTGATGAAGTTGCYATAAGACACTTTCAAATTACCAATATGGAGGTCCAAATAACAATTCTATTGGGAGAGAAAATAAATACAAAAGTATATAGGGATAAAATAATTATTTTAATTTATGATAGCAAATGAAAGCAAAATACAACTGGCACCTCTACAGATGTTCGAGGGAGGGGCTTTGACAAGGACATAAAAAAAGCATTCAAAATTTAACAAAATGGAGTAAGAAATTGCAGGCCAGAAATTTAAGAATATTAAGAGCAATTTTTTACTGAAAATACTTGAGAAAAATAAGAAACAATTGCTGCGATTACGTTACTCATGCATAGATATAGTAGATTCACGTGGATTAAAACACAAGACTTGCTTTTATTTATGCATGTTAAGTATTCCTAAGACGACTATATATGTAAACACTAATTGAAAGAATCTAATACCTTCAAGAACACGTGCAAATATACTCTGTACAAGGGCACAAACTATATAACCTCAAGTTCTTGGAAGGTTTAAGTTTATTACGCAGGAGTTTTATTTAGGTCTACGTGCAGACCTGCATACTAACTGAACGAAATGAGTAGTTCTCGTCGACAAATGCGCTTACCTCTCGCTTGATTGGTTTGGGTGCAGCGTTGTGAAACTTGGACATCTTGAACCGATTCATTTTTGAGCTTGTTGGTCGGCTTCGAAGCTAAGTTGATTTATTCAAGGGAGTTTTATATTAGTTTTTGACTTGATGTCGCCCTGTGTCTGACTCCACTTTTCGGCTTCCTGCCCTTCCTGCCGGAAGAACCTTGAACTCTAGCATCGCAAGGATTCCTGGGACACCGGAAATGAGTTCGAAGTACACAGGAAACCCACAAAGAAGATACTGCTTTTGGAAGGGCCACGAGCTATAATATAAAGACCTTCAAATGCAACCAAGAACACTTTGCTTCATGCTTCYGCACTCTTACGAATATGTTATTTTTTCCAGTTTGAATTCCTTTTGTCACTATAACTGCCTCAATAAAAGGTGTAGTAAGCTGTCCTTGCATCGTYAGGAGTGTGGTCAGGGTGGGGCGTTTTAGCCCCCAGGAGAACTCTGGGGTAAAAGTATTGGATATGCTGGATGGAAATTTTCAAAAAACTCCTAGCCTGCATAGCAGCACTTAGGGAGGGGGGAGGGGAGGAGGAAGGGGAGGAGGAAGTGCCACTATACAGGCTAAGGTACTCCTAAAAGTACCTTACCCCTAATGTTTTGAACAATAAACCATTTTTTATTGTTCTAGACTAAATATATATACATATACAGAGTATAAACATATTAACAGAGTGGTGGCCAATGCTACAAATAGATGTTTTTTTCTTGGCCACTGAAAATGAATTTTATTGACAAGTATTTACAGGATTATGGAGAATCATAGTGTTCATAATTATTCTTCATCATGTTTGCATGAATGAATCATGGGGTGGTGAAGATAGTTGGCTAAAGTCTTGGAATGTATCTTTATCATTAGAAAGGAGAGGTGGTGACGGTATAAGGGGAAGGTTAAATGGTATAAGACTCTGTGTCAGTGGATCTAATGTTGGAGACACAAGACCAGATCGAGATTCAGGACAAGGTTGTGTAACAGTAGCTGTCGGCAAGGTTGCTTTGGTTTTTTGTGCTTTGGACTTTTGTTTTTTTGATGACGAGGAGTCTTTATCTTTTTTGGACTTGCCCTTATCGGAGGTATAATTTTTCATCTCTCGTTCATATCTTTCTTTCTCTTTTTCATACATCTCATAATATACCTAAATACCAATATAAAAAAATTGGATTAAAATAATATTCCTAAATACAATAAAAAACAATATGGGATTAAAATCAAGAAGGAATCAAAGCCCATATTATATAAAGCAAATACAACATGTTACGATCAACATTTTTGTAATCATCATCTTCATCATCACCATCTGTCATCTGATCAGTATCATCGTCACGACCAACTTAATATTAAGACCATTATTCATGACTATCATCGCAGACATCATCATCATCATCATCCCTAGACTACAATTGGTTCACCAGGAAACATCATATAACTAAGAACATAGCAAACTTACTTTTTTATCATTATCAATAAGATTATTCCATTCTTTTGCCAGGGTTTTCGTAAGTTCATGATGACCCATAGCTGCTGCTGCATCCCTTTGGTCGTCTTGCATGACATTACGCTGTTGTTGGCAGAACATGAAGAATGCATTTGCAGGCTTTTTTGGAGCATTTGGGTCTTTTTCTTTCTCTTGCTTTGCAGGATTTCGACTCTTATTCTTTTTAATGGAAGTTGTTGTAGTGTTACTTGTTTGTCCAGGTGATACTGGTAGTCCACCATTATCAAAGTCCATGTAGGTTAGTGAACTTTCAGAGACAATTTCTGCCATTAGCTGAGACTTTGAACAGAAGACAGTACAGTATATTAAAATTTTGAGATAAATGGATGAAATGTCATAAGTGATCTAATTTAGGCATCCTTGACAAACCAATTATAATCATATATATGCAAAAGCAGAGATTTATTATAGTTTCCTATTCCACACTAAAGAATGATTGATAGAATGTTTTGTCAAAAGATTATCCACAAACAAAATATATTCCTGGTATTAATGAATATACAGGATTTGCCAATTAATTTCTTTTTTACATCATTATATATATGGCTCTAAGATTAATATAACATGCTAAGGTCATAAAGGTGAGAGGTCACTCTATGTACACTCTGCCACCATGTTATGTAAGTATAATTCATTTTGCTTGCAGAGCATGACTGCAAGGAGCAATAATTGCTCAATCTCCCAAACCAGATCAGATTGAATTCAAATGTTAGAGTTGATTTTAGTGGAAGGAAGAAAACTTGAGAAAAACCGCTGTTCAAAGCATACAATGTAGGAGAGTACCAACTAGCAACTTTACTTATTTATTGACTTGAGCCTATTGCATTGGTGATAGGCAGTACATTTGCAGTGCACAGCACCCATGCTTCCCATTGACATACAAAGACAGCATGTAAAAAATATTACCACCACACTGCAATTATTCTTTAGCTGTTTGTTTTAGTAGTAGATGTAATAAATGTAATAAATTAGAGCTACAGTACAAAATCCTGACGTATTTATAAATATACCTGTAATGGAGGTTGAGCATTTCGATAGTCATCTTTGTGTTCATCCAGTTTTTCTCTAATGCATCTGGAGATTGATTATAAATTATTGTGTGTAAAGATGAACAGGCATCTAGTGGTAGTTTAATGTAAAATGCACTAGCACTGCGTCTTTAATTGAATCCGTTAAACATAGTGCCATTTTTTCACCATCATCGTGTTAAACGTTTTAAAACATTTTGATAAACCATTACTTGATAGACGAAGACTTTCAAAAATTTTGCTTTAAGTTTAGCTTCCTCTACATGTCCAATCAGAAAATTATTGTTTTACTGATATCTTGAATAATTTTATAGTGAAAATTCAAAATGTATATTTTGAGTTAACAAGAAAGGTAAGGTTATTGTATTTATTTTGATTTTTTAATTTACCTTCTCTGTCGTCGATATCTACGAAGTAGTTTGTTCACATGGTATATCCGATTAAGTATTTGTTCACTTTCCTGTTGTTAAATAACAATATACGATGAGTTATCAATCCCTTCGCTTAAAATTCCATGCAAGAACCGTCTCTGCATGAGTCTAAAAACAGAATTTAAAATACGACCATTACTATATAATAAATGATGTTAAAGCCATGGAACTAATGAAATTAAGTTTATATGTGACGCTTAAGACAAAACAGATACCTGTTCTGTCTGTTCACATCGTTTTTGTAGAGTTAAATACTTTCTTTTCCATACTGTAGGTGAACTTTGATATCCCGATGAACCAGAAGGAACTCTACTTTCGTCCGCCATATTGTTTGTGTCGAATGAAAGGGAAAGACTGGGAACTAACTTCCAATAAGAGAAAGTGGGCATCCTGTGGCGTGGTAAAGCCGTTTTCTCTAAAATATAACGGGGACACAGAAACGCTCTTTTCTCTTCAATAAACTCAACAAAACTCTTACCTGGACACGAGAAATTGTTTAAAGAACGTTTATAATACTTGTGGCTTGTTAGCAAGACTGATGGATTTTACTTGCGTATCATACAATTGCTGCCCCCCCCCCCCCCCCCCCTCGTCAGTCTCTAAGCCCCAACAAGAGAAAATTCCTGTAACTGTTAATGAGCCCCCTCCCTCCGGTTACAAGTCCCGGTCTCTATTGACGGACTACTAAATTATTGTCCAATAATTTTGTTGAGCACCAGATGAGGATCCACTAGTATCCCAGAATGTATTGCGAGCGGAGATATAACGTCGTATTTTTTATTGAAAAATCATTTGTACTTAAGTGGAGTGTATTTCATACCTTTAAGCGATATCTATTCATAAATTATTCAGAAGATTTAAAGGTACTGAATACTGATTTAAAGATATTGAAATTCTTTTTGAGGTCGAGTTGTGCAGGCCTGGAGTGGGGGGACTGATGGCGGAGTGAGTTGTGTCTGCCTGTCTGTCTGTCGTTCTGTCAGGTTCAGTCAGATCCTACAACTGGCTACTTTTATTTGTCAAATTAATCGAACATGCCTTTAGTAAATGATAAAGCAAAAAATCAAAAAATCATAAACCGGTTAAGGCCAACGAAGACAATAATAAGCGTGCAGGGGCACTTGGGATACTGGTAGTTCCTCCTCTAGATGAAGACTGAAACATTTAGGTCTGTTACTGATACACAGGTTTTAGCTATTGTTTCAACTACCAGCAAATTCAGCTTTTTAGATGTGCTCAGTCTAATTGAAAAGCTTAAAGTTATATATAGAAACCCAAACATCTGCGCAGTCTACAAAGTTTTGCAAAAGTTGCCCACTCAGCTTCGCATAATGTCTTGACTAAAACAATATACAGTCCTTTGACTAAACGTTGTCGTTTGATCCGATGTCGGCTTCATCCCTACGCGCCTAGACCGAACAGGATCATGGGGATAATTAATTGACAGTTACTAGCTGCCGCATATGTTATCTAACACGTCTTGAGCTCGCTGTTTTCAATTCCATTTAATTTGCTAAAACCATGCCTCGAGCATACGGCGAAGATTTAACGCTAGTGAGCAGTTTGGATGACGCAAGTTCTGGGTAATTTACCCGTTATCTTTTTCGGTCTAGGCGCGTAGGGATGATTCGATCAACAACAACGTTTAGTCAAAGGACTGTAATTCAAGATGGCCGCCGTATTGGCTATTCGTTTAACCGAAACTTGTGTCGCGAACTAAAGAATTTCAGATGATGATGATGATTATTATTATTATCGTTATTAGACTATTAGTTTGAGTACGTGTGTGGGGCTACTTTAAGAAATACCACATAGCTGTATAGCAGTTACATGTAAATTTAAATCATTTTATTCATCAAATATAATCAAATATATATCTATATTAAACTTTCTAATTCAATTTTTTTATATTATAAAGAGCACCTTGGTAAATATTACAACATTTGTAACAATGCTAACAAATACCTCTTAAAACGTCTTGTCATATACAGTCAATGTCATTATTGTTGTCACCGAAAAAAGACATTTACACATTTAGACATTTAGATTAAAAGAAATATCATGTATTTTCTCGAAGGTTCTGGCATAAAACAAATGCTGAAATACCATTCTCCATCTTAAATCCTCACTAAATGTTCGGGGCATTCTGGATTTTCGATTCACGAGTTGAAATTTACATTTAAAGTTCAGGCTCACTTTGTCTAAATGTGTAAATGTCTAAATGTCTAAATGTGTAAACGTGTAAATGTCTTTTTTCGGTGGACAACGTTAATGACATTGACTGTATATGATCTAGAGAGAATAAATATGCTCTCTTGATATGATTAATTATAATTATTATTATCGTAGGATATCATGTTGACTCTGTGGTCCGACGTTTCATACTCTTACACTAGATACTTGATATCATATAATGTTAAACCTCAATTTATTGCATTTTGTTGCATTATTGATGTTGTTTATTGGTGTCACATCGTTCTCCAAAAAAGCAATAGTGACGCGGGGAGTTTGGTAGAAGGATTTATGTGATAATTCAAAATGCAATAAATCTTACATTTAGAAATTATTATACACCTTAATAACTTATGAACTAAAACATAAGAAATAGAATATAATTTTGAATAGGAATATATTTACTTTGAATATATTTTAGTATAAACAGCTATCAAAGAATCATAAATATTTAGCAGTTTTATATGCAAAGTAATATCTATCTTCTCTGTAAGGCATTTTGACGCATAATACTTGATAAATTTTTCTGCACCCAATCTCCTTTCCCAGTTTTCTCGATACTTGTGCTAATTAAATGACTTGGAAGACATAGCCTGTGTTCTATAAACATTCCTCTATCCAGCTGACATGAACTGAGGACCCAGTTTTATCTCTGCTTCGCGCCAAATTTACCGACGGGTTTTTTCAATCAGTCAAAATCATTGGCGGCATTTTTTGGCGCGAAACACAAATCAAATTCCTTTGATGGAAACAAGTCGAAAATTCGCTCACAAAAACAATCCCTGGACTTGTTTTCTCGGAAAGAAGAGCCTAATAGAGCACAGGATCAATCGGCTTCTTCAAAGAAGCTGGAAGAACCTAACTTTGCAATCGTATTCGTATTTGATTTTAGAGTTTTATAAATGTACCAAACGTTAATTAGCACAAACATATAAAGAAAAGAGGATAACTAACAAAACGTGGACTTTAAAATAACTCGGCTACAACTTACTGTTTTATATAGTCAAAATTAAGTCCTTGAGCTCAATGATAACGAACCAAGTAGTTCTCGTAATTCAAAGTTTCATCTTCACTATAAACGTCATTAACAATTACAAACCATATTTACTGCATTTTCTTGACTATTCAGAAGAATTGTTCGACAGATCTCCAAACGTCATTACTGGGTTATCGTAGGCGTGCAAAGCTTCGTCATTGTGATTCCCTCCATGTTCTTCATCATCTTCGTCTTGTTCAGCACCCGAGGACCTCACCACTATGTCTGACGTCTTCAGCTTCGGTACATTCCATTCGGGTAGGTTACCCATTGTGAACTCGTCTTTGTTGGGGTTGTTGTTAGACGAGGAGTGTCCCGCCGAGTTAGAATTAAAGGTGGTCTGTGCGTAAGGAACTATATCCCCATCATATTCATCATCACATACTCCAGGGCGAGCTGCGTCCACTTCCACAGGTTCTCCGTACATTTCTACTCGATAATACGACGCTCGAGGAATTCCCCTGAATCGCTTCAGCTCTACGTCCGTATCATTACCCAAAATGAAGGTACCACTGGTTCTGTCTCTTCTACAGCGAACGATCAACACGATTAAGCCAATCAGAAATACCAGTCCCATAACTGACCCAAAGGCAATATAAAGGTAAAGAGCAAACTTTTTGGAAGGGGTGGGGGTGGTTTTTGGTGGTGATGACGTTGGTACAGGAATTACGACCAACCCAGAAGATGTGTAGTTCTTTCCGTCAAAAGGCACTACAATTTTTCCGTCCGAAGCAGCTTTTTCTAGGATTTTAGTTGCATTAATGTTTGTCGCATTCTTCACGACAAATGTGACCTTTATAGAGCCACATTTGAGTTCCTCGATATGTATGTCCCTAACTGGTATATTAATGATACCTGCGATTACGTTCTTGAACTTCTTTTTAAATTTAATTTTTCTGGAATTATAACGAAGTACCTCATTGCAGTTTCCTTCCAACGTTATTATGTAACGTTCGTCATCTTTCGAAAATGGGAAGGCTGTTGTTGAGCTTGTGGTTGGTCTAGGCGAAGTCACACTTGTAGAAATGGTTGTGCTGACATTTGTAGTTGGTGGCTGGGTCGCATTTGTTGGAGAAACGGTTGTACTGACATTTGAGGTCGGTGGCTGGGTCGCATTTGTTGGAGAAACGGTTGTGCTGACAATTGAGGTTGGTGGCTGGGTCGAATTTGTTGGAGAAACGGTTGTGCTGACATTTGAGGTTGTTGGCTGGGTCGCGTTTGTTGGAGAAACGGTTGTGCTGACATTTGAGGTTGGTGGCTGGGTCGTATTTGTTGGAGAAATGGTTGTACTAATATTTGAGGTTGGTGGCTGGGTCGCGTTTGTTGGAGAAACGGTTGTGCTGACATTTGAGGTTGGTGGCTGGGTCGTATTTGTTGGAGAAACGGTTGTGCTGACATTCAAGGTTGGT